ATTGGACAGTTGAAGACTGGAAAAATGTTGCCTGGTCTGATGAGTCTCGATTTCTGTTGAGACATTCAGATGGTAGAGTCAGAATTTGGCGTAAACAGAATGAGAACATGGATCCATCATGCCTTGTTACCACTGTGCAGGCTGGTGGTGGTGGTGTAATGGTGTGGGGGATGTTTTCTTGGCACACTTTAGGCCCCTTAGTGCCAATTGGGCATCATTTAAATGCCACGGCCTACCTGAGCATTGTTTCTGACCATGTCCATCCCTTTATGGCCACCATGTACCCATCCTCTGATGGCTACTTCCAGCAGGATAATGCACCATGTCACAAAGCTCCAATCATTTCAAATTGGTTTCTTGAACATGACAATGAGTTCACTGTACTAAAATGGCCCCCACAGTCACCAGATCTCAACCCAACAGAGCATCTTTGGGATGTGGTGGAACGGGAGCTTCGTGCCCTGGATGTGCATCCCACAAATCTCCATCAACTGCAAGATGCTATCCTATCAATATGGGCCAACATTTCTAAAGAATGCTTTCAGCACCTTGTTGAATCAATGCCACGTAGAATTAAGGCAGTTCTGAAGGCGAAAGGGGGTCAAACACAGTATTAGTATGGTGTTCCTAATAATCCTTTAGGTGAGTGTACAGTGAATATGTTATATTGTATATATTATATATATGTTATATAGTATATATCTCCAGTGTATGGTTATATATGAGAATGTGCAAAGAAAAGTAAGGTTAATTCAAAAAGCAAAAGGAAGGAGGTGCCTTTCTCAAGCCCCTTTCAGACACTCACCTCACTGCATTACAGAAAGTTTGAGACACATTTTATGTGTTAGATGTCAAGGAAACATGTAAATTTTTTAGGCTGCAAATGAGAAGGTGTCATTTTGGTTTGCCAGCGTCGGGTCAGAGGAGCATAAGTGGATCAAGAATGAACTCTTCACACCATCAAAGAGTTCAACGACATCATCAAATCTTCACATTCTCAGTCAGCACCTTCACATAGTTTGTGCTGTCCTGTAAAAGAAAGGACTGCGCAGTAAACACATCTGCCTTTACAAAGGGGATTTGAGGTTCTACCAGTAGTTGGAGGCAACTGAATACGTTTACTTTAAGTACTGTACTTAAATACAAATTTGAGATACCTCCATATTTTGAGATATTTCCATGTTTTGCTGCTTCTACCATACATTTTAATGTGCTATATTGTACTTTTTAGTCCAGTACATTTATCTGAAAGCTATAGTTTCTAGTCACATTGACGATTAAGATTCTCTACACAAAACATATTGTTAGTTTATCATCTTATAGATTAAACTACCTAAATGTATACAAAGTAGTTTTAAGTAGCTCAATCATTAAAATGCTGCTCCATATGAATGCATTAGTAATAATAATTTATTACTATAATAATATAATCTGCAAAACTAGTATTTTTACTTAAGTGCATTCTGTTTATTATACTTATGCAAAATATTGAATTCAGGACTTTTCCCTCCATGTTAGATACTCTGTACTCATATCTATGCCACGATTCTCTTTCATGAGAGCTTACTGATGGCTCTCTTCAGTGTTGGCTGCAGAACACTGCATGGGCATAGGTTTCTCTGGACTTGGGCTTTATTCCTACTTACATGAACTATGCTGAGTTTCAAACAAACACTGGAACACAAGCCACAGGCCTAAGGTGGCACCATTTTCAGCACACCTCTGTCTTCCTAATGCATTCATCCATTACAGTTAGATGGAGGGGATGTTTTATTACACCCAGGAGATATTCAAGGGTACAGACAAAGACACAGACACATGTCACAGCCCATTTAATCCTCTACAATACAGCTGCAGAGTCTGAGAGTGAGGAGCACTCAGTGAGAGGCCATTAGGGATTTTTGTTATGTAAGCATAATCAAATTTCCCAGCAGCACCCCAATGTTTAGGCTGAATCGATGGGGCAGGAGACCATTTGGCATGACCTTGTCTGTATTTGTCCAGAGGAAAAAGCCATGAGAAATCTATACAGATACTGAATGAGGTTTCAGTGATTCTTTGCAGCCAAAAAACAAATCGAGAGCCATGAAATAGTTTAATGTTTGTGGACAGGAAAGATGCAGCCCGGAGTAATGATTTATTTGTTTTGTCAGCTCTTTCTTTGAACTGAGAAAATACGCAGAATATTAAAACTGAAACTGACAAATCTCTAGCAAAGCTTAAAGAAGCCTAAGCCAAGAGCCTATCTCCTCCTCCGTACCCTCTCCCACACTTCTTTTCTCTCATTTCCCCGCTTTCACTCTGATTAATGCAATGGCCTCACGCCATCATCGGGAGTTGAGCAGGCCATTCGACAAATTGCCGCCTGAAGGGGCGGGAAAAAACTTTTATCTCCCCCGATAAGCATGGGCATAGGTTTCTCTGGACTTGGGCTTTATTCCTATGAATTAAAATGAATTAACCAGTCTATGCAGACAACCTGAAATCAATTAGACCCAGACAGAGGAGTGAACAGCGCACAGCAAAGGCATAACTAGGCTAAAGAATTTCGCTCCCAATCCCAATTATAATGGTGTAATGAACTGTAGCATAAGTTGTGGGAGAAGTAGAACTTTTTATTGGAAAACAGCTTCTTTTGTTTGAGCTGTGGTGACTAATTGGGATAAGGCAAACACTGAGGTTTTGATGCTTTTGGTTCTGGACACGTCTATGATCTTTGTTGCATGTCAGATAAAGGTCCCTTTTGAGAAGAATGTCAGATACATTGGCCGGTCACAATGTGTAAACAAATGTGGGGTCTCATACTTGTGTCAGAGGATGTCATGTGACACATTTCTGCATGCTGCATGTTAACTCAAAAGGTATTCCAAACCTCATGACGAAATATGCTTGTTCTCGTTGCCTTAAAATTACCCATATTAGTGTTTTCTAATGCTGCGTTCAAGACTGCTTGGTACTCGAATTTCCCAGTTGCACCTTGAGGTCAGAAGTCAACCTCAAGATCCAAGCTCCAGGTGCATGATGGTTCATGACGACATGACGAAAAAACATGGCTGACTGTGACCAAACTGACAAGTTGCACACAATTGGTCGGCTGTGGCTCAGGAGGTAGCGCGGGTTGCCCGCTAATTGGAAGATTGTGGGTTCAATGCCCAGCTCCTCCAGGTGGTATGTCAAAGTGTCCTTGGGCAGGACATTGAGCTCCATCTGTGTGTGAATGGGTAAATGTGATGAAGTGTAAAAAGGTGCTATACAGAGCATCTCATCTCAATGCATCATAACTGACTGACTACCTGCTGGAGGGTTAGCTGGTCGACATGCATAAAGTCAGTGACTTGGGTTTAGTTACTAACATTTCTGATGGGTATGGTAAGGGTAGGGGGCTTCAACACCTTTAACACGAACGTAGTTAACAATCTAGCTGTCGCTAGGTACTGAAGGGTACCTTTAGCGTCAAATAACTACGTTTTGTCACTCTTTCTGAAAGCATTGGTATTGGACGCCCTGACATGAGAACGGTCTGAGCATTTACAAGGCGCTATACAGAGCATTTGCCCTTGGTGTACCTGTAATAAAATTGGCAACGTATTTCTGTATCAATTTACTTGCAGAACAGGTTTAATTAATCATAGCAAATCTGCTTTATGTTGCCTTTCAGTTTGTGGTTTATCATTTACAATGTGTGCCATAGTTGTGTGATGTCATTCAGCTGCTTCTCATGAAGTTGGGGTTCATAATTTTTTTCCAGGTTCAAAAGTTGGTTTCGGAGTTACAATTTGCCTCGCATGCAGCATAATCTGATAACCCAATCTGCAGGATGACATCGTTTGTCTGTGTCTTCCACATCAGTTTCTCATCACCGTTACTTTGGCTAGGATTACGCAACTACTACTCAGCAGTCATTGCTATATTATTACATGGGTACTTATATAAATGTAAATGCTCCGTACTTGTATAGCGCCTTTCTAGTCTTTTCGACCACTCAAAGCGCTTTTACATTACATCTGCATTCACCATTCACTCACATTCATTCATTCATATACTGAGCCTCAAACAGAAACTAACATTCACACACATTCATACAAACAGCCGCCAGGGGCAATTCGGCGTTCAGTATCTTGCCCATCATAATCATCTTAATACTCTGAGATAACATACATGTTTCTTTCAGCTTTATTGTGCATTTCTACCTGGGGTCTATCTAAAGGATAAACAATCAGGTTCATGACTGATGTGAATCCCTGCAGGTGGATCTGTGGGTCTGGAAATGAATGAGTAATACCATATCAACAGCAGGCAAGAGTGTAACTGCAGCAGTACACACCTCAACATTATGATGGTAGTTGTTAAAGCAGGAAAGAACATTTCTTCCTCAGCGCACACACACACTCATACCTGTGCCTACAGCATTACAGCTCTCCAGAGCTTAATACCCCAACGCCTGACACACTCCCTTGTGTTGTTGTTCCTACCACAAGGACTCCTGACAGTTCCCACAGGTCCAAATTTATCTTGGATTGGCCCCCATAAAAAATGTGCTCACTCTTCAGCCTTTCTTGCCTTTCCTGGGTTTTTTTACTTATTTATTTATCATTGCTCCAGAGCTCCAATTTGAAATGGACCCTCTGTTCACTGCAGCAAGACAGATGGCTCTGAGAGATAAAGCCAATTACTGTTGGCTGTCTGTTAAAGCTGCAACCGCAGTGGAGGGAAACTCAAGGGAATGGAAATGGAATTCCTTGCTCTTGGTGCTTTAATGAAATATTGAATGGTGAATAGAGCTTGCATTACCTACTCCTGCGGTTTCTTAAATCTCCATGTGCTGAAATTACATGTGTATCCTCAGATGCTGATGGCTCAATCATTTATAGTATTTACTATATCACTCTTCAAGGTTTTCACAGCTGTCTCTGTGAGTGAGATACTACTACTACAACCTCTTTATCTTAATGCAGTAATTAACCTGCAGCTCTTAATTGTTTTTCTTTGTCTTTGTTAAGGATGATCCCGGCCTCCAGCAAAGCTTTCTTGGTGACAAATCTGGTGTCGGGGACCCGCTATGACCTGTGTGTGCTGGCCGCCTGGGATGACACGGCCACCACGCTCACGGCCACCAACGTTGTGGGCTGCACCCATTTCTTCACGCTGGATGACTACCCTCAGTGCCAGTCTCTGCCCAGCCAGCTTCTGGGAGGCACCATGATCCTCGTGGTGGGGGGCATCATTGTGGCCACTCTGCTCGTGTTTATTGTCATCCTCATGCTACGCTACAAAGCTGCAGATACTGAACCCCCGGTTGGGAAGCTGACCAGTGTCAGTGATACACACTGTCAGACCAACGGGGGTCGACTCGGGCAAAATGGACTTCTTATGCTCCAGTCTCAGCCTCAGCCTGAGCCAAACGTCAAAGCCAAAGTGACTCTGCAGGATGAGGTGGTGGAGTTCAAGTGTGGCTCCCTCCAGAGTAGTCTTACCTCTTCTTCTTCTTCTTCAGGCTCCATGGCCGGGGACTCTTACAGCCCCAACAGCACACTTGCCAACATTTGGAGTTCAGCTCCATCCAAGCCCCGGTCCAACCTGGACCACCTCCTCGGGGCTTTCACCTCGCTGGATCTGCGGGGGACCCAGGGCCGCGACCCGGGAGCTTCCAGTAGCACTGGGATGGTGACAGCAAAACTCCACACAGACAGGGAGCCACTGCTAGGCCGGACGCTGGACTCCAGCCTCAGCCGGCTCCTCATGCTACCTCTGGACTCCAAGCCGAAAAGGAGCCAGTCCTTTGACATGGGAGATGTAACAGGCACCGGGGCCGCTCAGCTGTGCAACAAACCACGCAGGATTAGTAGTATCTGGACTAAGAGGAGCATGTCTGTAAATGGCATGCTGCTGCAGTGTGAGGAGGAGGGGGATACAGGAGGGAGCAAGGGGACAATAGACAGTGCAGACTGGGTAATGGAGAGTACTGTCTAGGAAAGATGGAGGGCTGTCACGCTGTTAAACCCTGCCCAAATGGACAGCCAACAGCCATGCCAAGACAGACCTGCTGGTCTAAGAGCCTTTGTCCTGCATGAAGCACACTCATTCCCATCCCTTCCACTCCACTGCTCTGACTCAAGTGAGGCAGGACAAGTGGTTTTCAAAGTTATAGCCAAATACAGACTTTAGGAATAATACCTGTGGATTGTATTGTCTCACACTTTGTACAGAGATGGATTGAAATGGCTGATCAGCCACCAAGATCAGAATGGAAATGACAGCAGTTACAGAAATATGTGACCATGCCCATGGACTGTGATTATCCTGTATAAATTCGTACAAATAAGTATGTAATGAATTTAAAGTTTTATATTTTTTATTTTGCTGGTCAAACACAAATGACTCATTACTGGTCTCTGTCTTGCCACAAGAGCAAGACCTGGCCAGTGGTTACACTATAAAACCTTCTACTGTAAATTCATCCTCAGTTACCTACTGATGCAGTTTAACCTTCTCTGACTGAATGGTGCAGTATTTATAGGTAGATGTGATACTTTGACTCATTAGATTAGATTTATTGACAGAGTTGTATGTAAATATATGTACTTTCTATACAGAGTATATATTTGAGGGGTCACTCAATAATTCTGTATGCTAAGCAAATCAAATTTTATGTGACTGCATAGATTATAAAACCCATCATCTCTTAAACTATGGTTGTACTGTATGTAAAGACTAAAATGCCAAATTATTGAGGAGGAAACTGGTGCAGTTCCAAGGCAAGTAGGCCTGGTTAGTTAGTTAGTGTACATTGTACATTTGTTAGGTCCAGTTTTTTCAGAGTTATTGTCATTTCAAAGTCATTTTTGAAAGATGCACTTTCTGTTTTGTTTCAAAACAGGATAACAACCCAAATCCAAACACTTTCTCCCAGCTCTCTGAATTGCCACATTCAAGGCAATATTGGATACTATGGCAAAATCAGGATGATTCTGGTTTATTACAATTTGAGTCTTATTTCTTTATATCTGTACTAATAACACTGTATTCACCAAAGTCATTGTTCTTGATCTGGCCACATCACCATAAGAAAGCCAAACAGGCGTCCTGGAATTTCATCATTTTAGGGGCTCGGCCACTCGACCTTTGGTGTTGTAGTAGTTTGGGGGCACCACGTCCAAATGCCAGTGCCGGAAGGCTGTCAAAATAAAAAAGACAATCATTTTCACAGAAATTATGGATCTTATTTTAAGGATTAAGGATGATTTTAGTTTTCTAATGTGTTAATGCCAGTCAGTAATCACAACCATTCATCATGGACGCTCACTTGGGTTCTCTGACAGGTCAGTCTATATAATGACATCACACTAAAAGTGTGTGACATTCATGTTATTGTATTAATTTGAATGGCCAGGATAACTTATACGATAGTTATTAACACCAATAAATGTTGAGAACGTTTCACACCTCGGCACACAGCGAATTTAAACACCAAATGTCAAATACATGTATGTCAAAGTAGCCACAGCAGCTACGCAGTCAACAACAGGAACTAATGCATGAGGACTGCAGGAGAAGAGGAGGGAGAGACAGCGCCTGGACGACAGAGAGACCTGACCGGATCCAGACATTACTTACATTATCGACACATCTCTCTCGCTCTTGTTTGGGCAGCTTAAACTTAAACTATCTTCATAAATAGTCTGGTTTTCCAGCGGTTCATACCAGGCTCTAAGTTGACAGCCCACTGGTTATATGCGCAGTGTTTCACTTGAAGTTGCCCAGTAAGAATTCAGAATCTCAACAAACGACACTAGCATTTAAAAACAGGCAGAGGAGAGAGCCAATGTGATATCATGGAATGGCAAATAAATAGCATGCCACCACAAGGACATTTCAGCGTGCCATGTCAACGCATTTTAAAGTTTTCGTTTGTCATTTCACGTTGTTCAGTCCCTATAGACTTAAGCAACACAAAGGAGGTTGACCCTAGCTGTGCAGCTGTAGGGTTAAAGCCTAGTTCACACTACATAATTTTTAGCCCGATTTGTCACTCAGTGACCGTAAGGCTGTGATCAGGGGTAAATCAGCAGTCAATCGGCGGTCACCAGTCGTTATGTGTGAACTACTCAACGACGCATTAAAACGGCTCCCCAACACATTTCTGACACATCGCCGATCTAGCATGCCAAATATGGAGGAGTCGGCCGACTCAAATCCACATCCAGCCAATGAGAGCAGGCAGCTACTTTTTTACTGCAAGACACTTTTTCCTCCCTCCAGCTCTCTGTAGCTCAGACCATCCCTGCTACCTGCGCATGCTAATGCATTCTTTCACCCACATTCTTTGTCTTTATAATTGCTATCTTATAATGACAAACAACAGCTGTTTCATGTGTGGTGTCGCGTCATTTCCCGTTTCACATTTCATGTGTGTTTTCTTGCCCAAACGTGGTTTGGAGACCAGACGTCGGGTCCTTGTCAGCTCGCGTTGTGTGTGACCCCCAGTCACCAATTAGTCACGTAGTGTGAACACCACAGCGATTTCAAGACTCCTGTCACAAGACAGCAAGTTGTGTAGAGTGAACAGGCCATCGGTCATTGGCTGGTGCTGAAAGTTGTGTAGTCTGCACGAGGCATAACCGGTCGACATGCATATTTAATTAATGATGGTTAAGGTTAGCAGTAAAGTACATCGGGGGGATGTCAATGCTAGCATTGTTAGCTAGCAAGCAACTTAAATTTTAACGTTGTTAACGCTATGTAGCTAACGTTAGCAACGATGTAGCATGGTAACTTACGTAATGTAACGTAACGTAACCTTATAACTAACGCTAACGCTATGTAGCTAACGTTAGTGACGATGTAGAATGGTAACTTACGGAATAAATAAAAACCAAACATAATGTTTCATTCAAGAACTGAATGCCGGGACCAACTCAATATCAACCCGACCACCCCTCCCCCACCTTAGTGTCGTACTTTCATGGCTATTTGTATCCCACACACGCTGATTTTACCTGTGACAGTAGGCGTAAAATGGCATGCTGTTTCTGCACAATAAAAGTCATTGCAGTCTAAACGGCGTGAAATGACACGTGAAAAATAAAAAATGCATGGGAATACCACACCAAATGACTTTTGATGATACCAGGCTGGAGAAAACAGCATAGTCATCAAGGCCACTGTGGCTGCAGGGCACATCATCTTTTTAAGGGCATAAGGCCAAACTGAGGGGGGGGCATGGCCACTGTGATATTTGTCAGTGCAAGAAACACAGGCAGTCAGACAATCAGACAGGTTAAAAACACCCTCGCACAAGTACTGGGACACAGAACATTTATTATTGGGCTTCAAGGAAACACTATGATTAAATAAAAAAGCTGAGTAACAATTATATAACTTTATAGCCTATCATGTGGTATTTCATGTCCTTGAACCTAGGTCGCTATGTACTGCAGTTTTCCTCATCATTCCCTGTCACGCCACTAGCGTGATTCTGATCTGTATGTGAAGTAACCAGTCCACCATCACCAGCAGGACATGAAACCTGTGTGAGGACACCTAAGTGTTACGGAGAGGTTTCTCATTTAGTAGATAACCCCAATAAAACGCAGATCAAATTGGGATGTCCTTGTGGATTACAGTGAAGGTACAAACCACAGAACCTTGTCAACAACCACAGCAGCTCTCTTGCCATATTTCCTTCAGAGCCAAGTTGTATAAAACCAGAATTTACCTTTATATTTATTTTAGGGGAAGTAGCTAGTTTAAAAGTTTATTGGTCAGTATCTTAAAATTTACAGGCACAGTTAATGAATCTATTATTTTGTTAATCAAGGTTGTGAGTTACTAACATCTTTCAAAAAGTCCAGGAAGTGGTTTTGAGATTGTGCTTTCAGTCATTTTGTACGGATACACTTTTCTAATGGCTGACATCATATTTTAGAAACTAAATTCTTCCTTGTTCTCCTCATACACTGGTCAGTGCTCATAGAATTCATCCACCTGGAGGATGTATGGGTTTAATGAGGGTTTAATAAGGATATGTAATAATGAACTTATTTAATGAAAGTTGATTGCCCAAAAAGTTTCTATTGAACAACACAAAGTTGTTTGCTTTTAATGTCAGGTGTTGCATGTTTCTTCTGAACTGACTCATGAGACAGTTTAGTCCAGTGTATACACTCATGCTGTCATTCACATGTTGTCTGAATGACTTTTTTGTGATATTTCTAATATGACTGCGTGTGTACAGTGTCTCTGTATATTTGATTTCTTTTTCGTACCATGCTCCAGTTGTAATATGTGCGGTGGTTGAACAATAGCAGATGAGAAGCAGCAGCTTCAATGTGTGCACATTTCTTACCTGGAGCTGTACAAGATGTTTGTGTGGTCTAATTGTTGTTTTTGCTACTATGATAAAACTAAAATCCTAATGAGACAGCCATGTGATGTCAGAGCATTTCCTCTATGATTGAAGCAGTTGAGTAATACAGTATCTCACAAAAGTGAGTACACCCCTTACAATTTTGTAAATATTTCATTATATCTTTTAATGTGACAACACTGATGAAAAGTAGTGAGTGTACAGCTTGGACAGTGTAAATTTGCTGTCCCCTCAAAATAACCCATCACACAGCCATTAATGTCTAAACCACTGGCAACAAAAGTGAGTACAAGTGAAAATGTCAAAATTGGGCCCAATTAGCTATTTTCCCTGCCCGGTGTCATGTGACTCGTTAGTGTTACAAGGTCTCAGGTGTGAATGGGGAGCAGGTGTGTTAAATTTGGTGTTATCGCTCTCACACTCCCTCGTACTGGTCACTGGAAGTTCAACATGGTACTTCATGGCAAAGGACTCTCTGAGGAGCTGAAATAAAATAACTGTTGCATTTTTTCTGGAATCCTGTGGGTCACAGGATCACAGTAATCATTCTTCCGGGATAGGGTATTTTTGTGGTGTTGGGATGACACAGGAGTGAAAATCCACTCTCATGTCACCCTCTACTGAAAGTCACACAAATAATATAATAAAAATGTATGCAATAAATCAAAGCAACAAAACCTAAAGGCTCACAATACAGGTCAATCTGAGCGTCATTTGAGCATCAGGGGCCGTGTGTGCAAGCATAAACGTGGCCATATTTAAAGAGCCACCTGGAAGGTCATCTTAAAACTGGGTTCCAGGTACCAAATGCAGACCACTTGATTCCTACTAAATTACAAGAAAAGGTCAGTGTTTTGACCTGAAGGCTTCACGTATCCTGAGCAGCAGATTCTGTTACCACAGCCTACCCAGTGCCCATCTTGATGTTATAATATCTTGACGCCCTATAATGGACCCTTACATGGTGACCCAGTGAAAAGCAGGTCAATTCATATCAAGAATGTGCTCCCTGGACAAAAGAATATAGCTCGATGTTTAGAAATGTTGCTCACACAGACCAGGAGCCAATTACCAAAAACTTATCATCAAGCTAAATATCACTCTGAACTATAAATCCAAACAATGTAGGTATCATATCTATGGTGGGACTGCTGTTAACCTCTTGCTTCAGGCATAAACCCAGGTATAAGCTCGGCATTCAACCAGGAAGTCCTTCTCTCTCTCTCTCTCTCTCTCTGTCTCTCTCTCTGTCTCTCTCTCACTGCTGACTATGGGCGTTCATACCTCATTTTCAAATCACCTTTCACCACAATCAGCTCAGCCAATCATGAAGTCTCTATCACAATTTAAATCTGTTCACTCCTCTGCTGAAAGCTGTCATTTCAGTATGAACCACTGTGGCGCTCCTCCATCTCATCCAGATCCCCAGAATCGTCGTCATCCCCTCATCACACCACCACACAATTCATCTGGGGGATTTCTATGCCTCTGCATTAATTTAAATACCTTGTTGTCATGAAGGGGTCTTATCGCCAAATGGCTTTTCACATTCTCATTCAATGTATCACCTGTCAGTGTATATTTTTGTTGTTCGCTCAGTTAAGTCTCTCCTGACTTAAATGGGTTTAAAGCTTCAAACTGCAGCTCTGACCCTTCCACACCATTGGTTTAGTTTTTCTGCCCCGGCACCTGTCACTCAACATGATGAGCTGTTAACTGGCCTGAGAGCGAGGTCCTCGGCATCTGTAAAGCCGCCACAGGTAAAGAGGAAAACGACCACTCTGCAATTTAAAAGGAATACTGCAGAGGTTTGTAACTGACACAGTTTCACTGTCCTTTTGTTTGTCCTCAGCATCAATGAAAAGCCTAGTATTTAGCCCCCCAAAAATGAGAATATACAGTTTCTTTCTTAGTGTTGTTTTTAGGATGTACTGTCTGTCATAGCATCAGAAGCACATGTCTGACAGATAACAATGCATAAATTACCTAAAAAATGCAAAGGTTCACTGACTTATGACTACATGAGACTGTTGCTCGCTTGATTTCATTGGATTTGCTTTTGTGCTTGTATGTCAGATTTTCCCAATATTTTGTTTACATCACGAGTTCAAACCTTGTGTTAAGTAGGAAGAACTTCATTTTCTTATTTGTTACAGTGTGCAGACCTCCACTAAAAAAACTGTTCTAGTTTATTATAACTGACGTGTCAATTCACTGACAGTGTTTTGTAATTAAAATAAATGTGTGCTTACTAAGTTAATAGTTGAGATTTGGGAACACAGCGGCGTTCGAACATGAGCAGTGTGACTATCAGACAGGTGAGAAACAAACCAACAGTTTATCCAGATTATCTAAACCCCTGATGTCAAACTGAATGTGAGTGCACCTGAAATGTTGCTAATAATCCCTAACTGCACAGGGAAACAGTGAGGGTGCACAGCTACAGTGAGAACAGTAGGTCAAAGAAGAATCAGGAAGTGGGTCTGCAAACTGTGATGATGTTTGCAAGGGTTTGGTTGATTGTTTTACTGTTTTTTTCTACCAAATATGTTCGGTTGTCCTAGGGGGTTTGAGGGAGACGGGTGCTACTCCCGGCGGTTAGCCTAGCTTAGCATAAAGACTGGGAGCAGGGGGAAACAGCTAGCATCTGTCCAAAGTTAAAAAGAACACCTACCAAC